TGCTGGGGAAGCTGGGACAGAAGTGCTTGGGAGCTCACTGAAGAGTAATATGTTGCACGTTCCTTGGCTTGCAGACGTGTGTTGAGAGTTTCCTGCAGTTGTACAAGCTTTCTTTGGGTGGAGGTCCTCATGAGAATCTTAACATCTTGCAAAGAACTTTCTCTCACCACTCTGAAAGGGAACTGAAGTCTACGCCGTACAGAAGAGCAACAGCCACACCAGGCTGGGGTGTGGGGGCCTGGAAAATGGCAGCACAAGAGGACTTGGTGCTTCTAACACCTTTAAACTCAACAAGCCAAAAGGAAGGTGCCAAGAAGGCAGCAAAAGCCCAGAAAGCACCTGACCCTTGACTGGCATTGCCAAGAAGCCCAGAATAGCTGTGGCTATAAAGGAAATCCCAAGGAAAGCCAAGAAACTGGCAGCCACCGTGGCCAAGAAAGCAATCAAGAGTTTAGAGAATATGAAAGCTGGTAGACCATAAAAGGCAAAGATCCAGCTAAGGGCAAACCATGTGAAACCCAAGGCTACCAAACCCAAGGCAGAGAAATCAAAAGTGGCCTCAGGCTATGAAGTTATTGCACGAGAAGCATATGCTGTATGAGCACAGACAAAGTGTCCTGCTTTAGGGACAGAGAGTGTAAATCCTTTAATTGAACTGTTATTTCTCATCATGTTTTGCATTTTTTTTTAAACAGTTTCCCTAAAGGAAGACTAATTGCAATAATTAAAATTCCTTATTTTGCAATAAAACTAAGGCTTTGTATGAGTCATGTTTATTCTCCTTACTTATTTCAATCGTCTGCAGCAGCGTTGTAGGGGAGATGGAGCCAGAGTCTGCTCAGAGGTGCACAGCAGAAAGAACAGAGGCAACAGCTGAAAGCTGCAACAAAGGAATTTCTGATCTGACATCAGGAAAATATTCCTCATCTTAAGTGTGGTGCAGCACTGGAATAGGTGACCGGAGAGGCTGTGCATTCTCCATCCCTCCTGACTTCTTCAAAACTCAGCTGGACAAGGCTCTGAGCAATCTAACTAGCTTTGAAGTTAGCTCTGCTTGCTAAATTTCAACGCAATTTTATCTGTGATCTTAACTGGGAAGGTATACTATCTCAATAAGGATATTTATTTTTAAAAATTAACAGCTTCCTGTACATTTATTCTTATATTTAAGCAGGTGAGTTCTCACATTTTTTATGACTTTGGCTTACTGAATTACAGTAAATGTATTTATTTATTGCATCCTTTTGTTAATGTCTAATTTGTGAGAAGCTTTATTTGTGTGGAAATTGCAATCTTAGTGAAATGGCCAAAACAGCATTCTGAAAGATAATTTATTCATGAAATGAAGCTTTACTTGGCTTTCACCGATTCAGTCTTTTTTCATGAAATGAAGCTTTACTTGGCTTTCACTGATTCAGTCTTTTTGTATATGTCAGCATAGCAGCAACAAGTACATGCAGCTTGTATTTTAACTGATCTAATTTATATTACTGAAAATGTTTTTATTTGAAAAAAAAAACATTTACATTAATAGCAAAAGTAGACAATCAAAATAATTCATGATATTTCGCAAGATTTTTTTTATAGTTTTTTTTTTTAATTTTGTCAGCATAGCAGCAACAAGTACATGCAGCTTGTATTTTAACTGATCTAATTTATATTACTGAAAATGTTTTTATTTGAAAAAAAAAACATTTACATTAATAGCAAAAGTAGACAATCAAAATAATTCATGATATTTCGCAAGATTTTTTTTATAGTTTTTTTTTTTAATGGGCTAAAATCCAGCTCTCTCTTTTGTGGGAATTTATTCCAGCTTGCTCCATTATAAGGGCTAAGGATGGCAGAGAACAGAGAGAAACGAAGCAACGTGCTGAAGAGCAGAGAGCAGGAGGAGAAGAGGAGGTCTCCTGCTCAAAACTGGACAGATGTAGACTGTCAAACAATGTCAGACCATGTGGTGCCAGCAGTAAAAGTTACAGGATTGCACGCATTTTAAATCTTCTTTTTTAAAAAACAAAAAAACCCCAAACCCAAAAAACAAACAAAAAACCAAAACAAAAAACTAAAATAGTTTTTGGTTTCAACCCAAATGTTACGTTCTTTATGTAATAAAGGTGGTCTTTTTGGATGGGTTGCAAGTCCCACTGCCCTCTGGGAAGGACAAGCCCCCACCCCAGCCAGCTGTATGCTCTTGAGGAACCCCTCCAACCTGAGAGGCCTGATGACAACACGTTTTGCTCATGCCGTGGGTCTCTGCGGACGTGATCCAAGCAACATGGAGCTTCCAGGTGACATGGCAGCTGCTTCCAACAGCCTCCCCATGATTTCCCACAGCCGTCCCCTTCACTGAATTTCACTGAATTTCACTGAATTTTTAGAGTTGGGAGGGACCGTAGAGATCATCTAGTCCAACTCCCCTGCTGAAGCAGGATTGCCTAGAGCTTGGCAGAGCACATCACTCAGGAGCATCCAGGCGGGTCTTGAAAATCTCCAAAGAAGGGGACTCCACGACCTCCCTGGGCAGCCTGTTCCAGGGCTCTGTCACCCTCACTGTGAAGAAGTTTTTTCTCATATTTGAGTGGAACCTCTTATGTTCCAACTTGTGCCCATTGCCCCTCGTCCTGTCACTGGGAACCACTGAAAAGAGTCCAGCTCCATCCTCCTTCAACCCACCCTTGAGATACTTGTAAGCATTAATAAGGTCTCAGCCTTCTCTTCTCCAGGCTAAAGAGTCTCAGCTCTCTCAGTCTTTCTTCATAAGCGAGATGCTCCAATCCTTGAATCATCTTTGTTGCCTTCCTCCCCACCTCATTCCTGCAAGCAGTGGCCGCTACCTCAAGGCATGCGGTTGCTGTTTCTACAGTGCAAAGGTTGACCTGAGGTCCCAATCTCCCCTCCCTGCTCTGACTGGCATGTCCTTCCCTTCAGAAAATCCCAAGCTTGGCAGCTAAGGAAGCCGCAGCCCATGAGAACTGGAGGGCAAGGGAAAAAGGAGAGCTGGCACGGGCTGCCCACTGCCCCCAGCCCCACTTGGCAATGCTGTGTGCCACCCCATCCAGTTCTCTTCCTGCCACCCCGCTTCAGCCACACCGTCCTCCTCACTATGTTTCTTGCTCTGAGATGAACACAGGAAAGAGAAGAGATAGGCATGCGGTTGCTGTTTCTACAGTGCAAAGGTTGACCTGAGGTCCCAGTCTCCCCTCCCTGCTCTGACTGGCATGTCCTTCCCTTCAGAAAATCCCAAGCTTGGCAGCTGAGGAAGCCGCAGCCCATGAGAACTGGAGAGCAAGGGAAAAAGGAGAGCTGGCACGGGCTGCCCACTGCCCCCAGCCCCACTTGGCAATGCTGTGTGCCACCCCATCCAGTTCTCTTCCTGCCACCCTGCTTCAGCCACACCGTCCTCCTCATTGTGTTTCTTGCTCTGAGATGAGCACAGGAAAGAGAAGAGACGAGGAAAACCAAGGTAGAGAACAAAGAGGAGAAGGAGAGATAAGAAGATGCAGTAACCCTTGCTTTCCAGGTGCAGCAGAAAGCCCTCGGTGTGGCCAGCTTCCCCTGAGGGGACATCCAGCACCCTACATCCATCAAAGTGAGGTACCATTTCAAACTGGGGACTAGGCACCAGAGCCTTGAAACAGCAGCCTTCAAACTGGCAACACTGATCGGGTACTCAGGAGCTGTGACAGCAAAATGAGCAAGAGCAACCACCGTGTGGGAGGCGACTCCCATTCCAGGTCAGAAGAGTTTATGAAAATCAGCCACAAACTCTAGATCGTGCTTCTAAAATGGGGCTCCAGCAGCTTTCTTTGTGGGTAGTCCAACTTCATGAGAAACAAGACTTAGCTGGAGCTATATTTAAGCTTAAAAGAGAAAGCACCATAAGCAAGGTGGTGAGAACAGGCAACCTCCAGAGACTGGTGGCACAGCACGACGACAATTCAGGTTGGAGTGGCAGGGGAGACAAATCTGTGTGTGCGATAAGTGCTAATGGAGAAACCTCTGTGTGGACCCCAGTAGTGTAAGGAAAGGGAAGAATAAATTGAGTTTGAGAAGTCAATGGCATACTTTGCCCACGCAGCTGGTAGAACATGCCAATAGGAAGCTGCAAAGGCCAAGAACCCATCCAAGTGTGTGTAGATGGGAGCAACACCTACAGTCACTGGGGCTGAGGCTGTAACAGCCTGAGGTGGGGACACCACAGCATCAGCCAAGGAGCACTGATTCCAGGGGATAGAGTCGTGCAATAACCTGCGTTGTGTGGTTCAGTCCTGAAGAACCATGGGACACTGTTAGAGGCAGTTTAATGGGTAATTTGGGCCACAGCCACTTTGGTTCTAGAAATACCATCTAAATGCAGACTTGACTGCTTGCACATGAAGACACTGCCTAGACACGTCCATACTCTGAGTGCTCCATCTTTCTGACCAAAATATGTACAGTTAGTGTCTGATGAATCTATGTGAAAGTCAGAAATTCAATGAAAGAAAAATTTTCCTAACCCTTTTGACCTAGAAGTGTAATTTTTAATGCAGTCTTTCAGGTATTCCCATTACTGAGTTAAGTGGCTCTAGCGAACAAATTCTTCTTTGCTTATGAGATGATATATCACAGCTCTTCTTTTACTTCAGCCATCTCACCATTTTTCTTGGAGATGGTAGTTCTCCACCAGCAAGTCATGGCACACGTGAAATGAAAAGATGTGTTCTCAACACAAATCTCATGGGCTGGGAGGAGTTAACCTTATGCTCAGCAGCTATCAACTGTCAGGAAAATCTAGCCATGGAATCCATGGAAATCCATGGAAAAAAAAAAATTCCTGATGATTATTTTCTGTATCTCTAGAGAATGTAATGACCTCTTGGGAAGGGAGGGCGGCAGCAGGAGACTGGGCTAGCAGGTAGTAAAGAGGTCCAAAAAAACAGATTTGGGCTGAAGTAAAGTCTGCACACCAATCCGGAGGAAATACACCTAGAGACAAATAAACTCAAACACATGAGTTGCCAAGAATAACAGGAAATAAATTTTCTTTTAATATTTTTGTGTGCACTATATGGACTCTAGCATTAAAACAGTGTTCTCCTGGAGAGGAGCACCTCTTCCTGTACCTGCTGAAAGCAAGCAACAAAAAGATTTCTAACCATTCTCCAAACTGTATGAATGTTAAATTTCTATATACTGTACAGTAGCTATGTTATACAGTTCTATATCTATATCTATCTATATCAGCTTACATTCAACTCTAAATGCAGGGTGGAGACTTGGCCTAATCCAATTTCCAAGAGCTCCCTCTAACATCTCATCTCCATCCTACCTTCCTCCACACACAAATTCCACTGGCATCCATCCCACCATAGAAGTCAGTGGCTGCCAGTGGCTCGATGTCTTTGAGATCAAGCTCTCAGTGCCTTCCTCTCTGCAGAAACGTGCCTACCCTCAGTACAGAGAAACTCCTCCTCCATCCCTAGTCTCATGAGCATCAAGTACTCAAGAGAAGCATCATCCTCTGTGCAGGGGTGCTCTGCCCCTATGTACAGGGTGAAATTCCAGTCACTGCACAGCTTAGAATCCTTTCTCTTCTTTACTGGATGAATACAGAGATTTAGCCCATCTATGGCCAATTTTGACCTTACACAGAACAAATCTGTGCCTGCACAGGGGTGTCTTCCCCTACCCAGAGGATGCAACCAGCTTCTTGCTGCCTACAACAGAGATCTGAGTCCTGGGGAGAGGCTCTTACGTTAATTGATTTGCTCTTTTAATTGGAGACGTCTGCCTCTGCACAGCAAACCATCCCCTGTGTTGTGTGACCCTGGCTCCATGCAGCAGACCAGCGCTCCTGTATGGGTACTCAGTCCAGTAACAGAGGACATGATGTGAAGGGGGAGAATGCCTACTCCAGCAAACTGGCTTTCTGTTAGTCAGGAAGGACACTTAGACACCCTAGAGACAGGGTCGTGCTGATCTGCGGCAGGGAGCTAAGCTGTTCAGCTCAGGAGCCCCACAGAGTCATGCCATGAAGTCACATGGAGTAATTAATACACTTCAGACAGCTCTTCCCCACTTACCCTACCCAGTCTCACAGTGACAACTGTCCATAGACTTGGAAACGTTCTCGAGAAGACCACACACAACCAGTGCTACCAGAGTGAATTCTTTTCCCCCGGCTGGCGTGCCTCTATGCTTCTAGTTGCAGATATGTCTACCTCCTCAGTAGCACCTGGCTCTTTGCAGGTCAGCACAGCCAGAGAACCTGCAGGAAAATCCAAGGATCCCAGACAATGGTTCTTCTCCTGCATCCCGTTCCAATTTGTCACTGCTTTCTGCTTTGTGCAGGAGCTCCCAGGGCAGGAGGTAGGAACTCCAGTGGAGATATTGAAAGCAGGCTCAGCAACTGGAGAGTTTGGAGGTAGCCAGACCGAGACAAGTCACCAGGACAAGCTAATTCATGGTGAATTCTCAGTTCTGTGAGGACACACGTGTTCTTCATGGTTTCTCTTGGGCTTAGGATCAGAGGCAGCCATATTTCCTGCTCCCTGGAACTTGCCTGGAGTGGGCATCAAGAGATTTCTTCAAAAGGAAGGGAGGGACAGAAAAGGAGAGAGGAGATGAGGGAGAGGAAGAGGCAGCACTCTGTTCCAACATCGTCTTCTTGAGAAAAACATAATGCCATATTAAAAATCCAGAATTCTTCCTTTCAGTAGCAGTTGTGTGTGAGGGAGGCAATGGGCTCGAGACAAAGAACTTCCCAGAGGTAGTTATAAATGATCTGCTGCCATACAGGGACAGTGAGGTTTGTCTTGGGTTGAAGAGAGCTCATCTCCCAGTACTGTCACTTCTCTGAGGCCAGCAGACACAGGAGAACCCTGTGGCTCAGGAGGACTGGAGAGGCTCAGGCTGACTAGCCATATCCAAGCTCATACTGATGCCATGCAAGAAACCTAGGCCAGGAGTCCTAGGGCACAAAGGTTGGCACTCCTCCATGAGATGCAGCTTGGGCCATCTGTACCATTGGAGAGGACTACCTGCTGTCCCCATGCATGTCTCTGTGCAGGGGCAAGACAAGAGAAGATGCAGTACATTTATAAGGACCTCTGGGAAATGAGCAGTTCATGGCCTGCCAAACAGACTTTGGGAGAAAAGAGGGGAGCATCCCACATCCTCATCTTCTAAATCTGAAGATGACAACAGCCACCATGACAGTCTAGCAGAGAGGGGACTCTGTGTACTGCAGCACCTGAAGAAGAGGATGTGGGGGAAGGTAGAGAAGCAAGGAAATGGTGGGGAAATCACAAGCGAGAAGGACTTGTTTTGGGCTGTAGGTAGTGGATGACGACTTCTCTTCTCTCCCTTCCTTTTTCTCTCCTGCTGTTGATAGCTCACAGAGCATCAGGCCTTCTGCGCTGCTGCTCCAGAAGTTCTCTGCAAGGGAGATGGAGGGGTTGCCCAGACCGGCGGAGACGTCGAGAAGGAAGGCCAGCCAGCTGGCGACAGATCTCATCTGAAGACACAGCAGACACACACATGTTGAAAGATAATCAAAGCTTCCTTCAAGTTCCTCACCACCAGAATAGTTAGAGGTACATCCTTCACTGCATTTACAGAAAACATTGGAACTGCAGAATCCTCATACACATGAGGCAAGTGAACTAGAGGTACATCCTTCACTGCATTTACAGAACTGCGGAATCCTCATACACATGAGGCAAGTGAATAAGTCCTTAGGCCTTTATTAACTTCCTTCTGGCCTTATTCATGCACAATGCATATTAAAATCATTTGTATTTTTCTGCAACATAGGCTGTGTAAGAAATCTAGACTAGATCCTGTTTCTGTTGACAAATTGAAATACTGAGAGTTACTTTTCAACCTCAACGGAATGATACTCTGAGTAAGGGTGTGCCTGGGGCCAGTAGAGCCTGATCAAGACCGAGGAAGGCAGAGCTCTCACACTTCTTACTAGTATGAGATGCACTTCCCAGTGTTTTTCATGGCTTGAACACAGGATGCAAGGCTGCCTTGCATTAGAGGTCCCCCAAGGCAAGCCCGGGGAAAGTACCACCTATGGATAGGGGTTGGGTAATTAGTTAGATTGGAGACTCTATTAGACGGCTGCAGCCACTCTTCTAGGCTGGATTGTGCTATCACTCACCTTGCATGACCTCATTCTCCTTGCAGACAATGCGGGAGCACACCTCCTTGTTTATGATGTACATGCGACGGACACTGAGGGATCACCGAGAGCACGACGAGGAGAATAGAGAAAGGCACAGGGACCCAAAGGGAAAAAAAAAGGATACAGGCAATAATCAATATTCATTGATGAAGAGGCAAATCCTAAATGTTTAGGATTAGTTAGTCTAGAATAAGGCTGTTGTCAATAGGAAAGTAATCTTTGTCAAGGCTTAATTAAATAGCCAAATATCTTAAATACGGATTACAATATGGAGCACGTTACAGCTCCTTAGTGCTGCACAGACAATCGTTATTGTATAGCTTTAATTAACCACCCTAAAAGGACACTGTGAGGATGGGATTGATCTCTTCAACTAGTTCCTTGAGGGAACCTCTAGTCTTCAAAGGAAACAACTGCTCAACCAGACATGCCGTTTCTGAGAGTTTTTAGGGCTTTTCTTAGGGCCTGCTGGTTTCTTACCTTGTCACACAGAGGTAGCTGATACACTGCTTCACGGGCTTGTGAACAGAGTACAGGCGTGTGCAAGGGAACTTCTCTTCACGACAATCTGGGAACACAGACACACACACACACAGAGGTGCAATCCAGCATCACGGGCAGGTGCGCTCATTCTGGCACACATATAACTTCATCACTAAGGACTGCCCTCCAGGCTCTTAGGGAGGGATGCTAGCCTCTGTTTTCCCCTTTCTTGTGAGAGACGGGGATGGTTTAGAGACAAGGAAAATAAGGCAGGCATTTTTGGTCCCTTTGCTTCTTAAGACAAAGCTAAGGGAAAGATGAGCAAAGTGCAAAACAAGCCTACAGGGAATCCTCAAGACAGAAGGCACATACTGTAAAAGGGACAGACAGAAGTAAATGAAATATAGTCACACGTTTGAGACACGTGTTTCTAGTAGATCAGCACTCTCACACTTCAGGACACAAACTTGGTTCCTTTCTTGTCTAGCCAATGAACCTTGTAGCTTACTATGGCGGATTTTCTTGCATTTCCTTCTGAAATGCCTGGTCTTGGCCACTAAAAATGACAGAATATTGACCCATCCTGTCTGATCTGATGATCTTCTGGTCCCTCTCCTCCTGGGTTTGCCACCCAGCTTCCACCACGGTCATTCTCCACTACTTATAACTCAAGGAACAGGGGGAAGGGAATTTTCCAGGGGACAAAGCTCAGTTCTTGGCCAGCACCTGCCTGGAGAAGTAACAGGGTGGATGTAAGTGGGTCTGGGAGGGGGTGGAAGTAGCAAACTCAAACGTACCTGATGAAGCCGTCGTAGTTTCACTATCAGACTGAACTGGAAGACAGAGGGTAGCAAAGTTAGTATGATTTACCATGATTCCTTCCTAGACTGGAAAGCTCTTTCAGGAGCCCTCCGTTGTAGAAAAAATGTGGAAAAAGGTATCACTGTTACTGACCTGAAACTGTAAGAGAAGGTACAAATCCAATATGAATCTACCCACACTAAAAATCTGTCCAAGCTTTACCATAAAGCATTACCATGACTGTTCAAAATTACACTGTTATGGGCATCTTGTCTTTCAAAAAATCTTGACATTCAAAAGGTCATGTAAATGTGTTCAGTTGCGGTAATTTCTGTCCATCTAGACAAGAAGCTAAGGAGCCTGTGACTGCCTCTTCCTAAGGAACGGGGACTCCTTTAAGAAACAGCACCCCCAGACCACCAGTTCTTTAATGTCCATGACAAGGGGTCAAAAGGATGTTGGATTATTATTCCCTCTGATAAAGCAACCCAACCTGTAGCACAGTAAACCAGTACAATTTATTATTTGCCCAGTGACCACCTGGAAAGGCACTTGGAGGACTGACTGCCAAGCGCAAGTTTTCATCAACAGTTATAGAGGACTTCTACTTTTCCTGACCACGTGCCACCGTGTCAGCCAGAAGCACAGACAAAACACATGGGTGTAGACAGAAGGAGTCTTCTGGGCATCGGGGCTGTGGTTAGGAGGAGGCAAGGGAAGGCAGGATTCTGGGTGTGCAAGGGACTGGGCAAGGAGACATTTGGCTGTGAATTGAGAATAAACTCACCAGGACTAAGAAGCACGGGTGGTGTGGCAGCTGCAGCTGGAAAAAAGAGAAGATGTTCTGAAAGATCTTAAGTTTTCAGCCTCTTTCTCCCTCCCACAGTTCTGCTGACGGCTCACCACTCCCAACCAGCAGCCATGCCACATGGGGTTCACAGACAGCACTGATCGTGGTGTTGTTATCATCTGACTTGTCAGAGTGAGAGCAGGCTCTCACTGCGAATATGCTGCGTGTCCTAGAGCTGACAGGGTGCTGCAGAGGGTCCCATGGGACATCCTTGGTGAAGAGTTTCTTCTTGATCCCTCAACAATAAGTGTTTTGAAGCCAAAGTTTGCTGTAAAGGCTACATGCTTAGTCTTTCCAGGTTTCGACAAAGGTTAGCCACTGCCAGTTTGGTCTGGCCACCAAGTCTTATCTAACCTCCTACGGGTTGTCAGGTCTCACACTGAACACAAGCCTGACACAGGTTGCTTTCACCTTCCATCCCTACAAGGAAGACCTTGCATCTACAGTATCCTCCGGTGTTGTCAGCTGGTCAACTTGACCTACAGTATCTAGCCAGCTGATGAGCAGAGTCACAGGGCAGAGAGGAGTCCGTGGAACTGCTGTCCTGGAGAACAGGACACCACTCTCAGATGAGCTCTCCTACACACGCAGTGCACTTCCCAGCAACCACCAAGCGCTGCTGCTTCTCCTTTGTCTGTTGAACCATATCATCCACCACATGTGTTCTCCTTCTCCCTGCCCTGCCTGATCCCCCCACCACCTCAGCGGGATGTGTTTGAGAGACTGCCCCAGCAGAAAGAGAAACCATTCCCGAGGCCAGCAGCGCCGGATTCAAAATGACTCACACAGAAAAAAAAGGGAGGCTTCTTCTGGAGCCTCTGGCCCTCTCCTCCATTCCCCACTGTGAGTCCAGCAGGACTAGCCTAGCTTCTAAATGCCTACACTCCCGTCAGGTCTGTGTCCCACCCCTGGGGCTACCTCCACAGCACGGGTTGGCTCTCTAAGGAGGCACAAGTGCTCATCAAGTGTCCTCCATCTACTCTACCATTCATGTGTCTGGGCTCACGGCAGGGGGGTTGGAACTCGATGATCTATAAGGTCCCTTCCAACTCTATGATTTTACAATTCTAGGTACATTTTGCTGCCCCCCAGTGACACAGCCGCAGGCACGGCAGGGGAGACAGTAGTAAAAGAACAGTATTTCCACCTCCCCATCCCACCACTGCTCAGTTTGCTTTCGGGTCTTTTGCCACCTCTGTTTCCTGAGCAGTCGAGCATGGCCACCAGCTGTCAGCAGACACGTGCACCATCCGTGTCCCGGTGCTGCCTAGTGAACTGGTGAACCTGGCCAATTTCTATCCCTTCACATTTAGTCTCTTCTTTCCCGCAAGCCCAGGCCCCATGAGCTTCGGATTTCATGGCTTCCTGCAGTGCAAACAGCTTCAGAGAGCCCTGGTCCACCAGGTGAGCTTGGCATTTCCTTGGAGAACAGGCCATTAAGCCACCCCAAGTTCATCTCCTGGCATGGAGCACAGAAAGGACTCCCAGAGAGCTATAAATGCTGGAAGAGCACTGCTACATGTCAAAAGTGGGGAAGAGGAGTTTCTGAGCATAATTTCTGGGACTATGTAGGCAGCAGTAAAGGTGAAAAGGAGGAAAGAAGCCCGAAGAGGTAAGAGCTTACCAGGAGTGCTGAGAAGAGATTCGGTGTTAACTTCACCTGGAAAAGAGATAATGTCCTTGAGAGAGCTTGTCCTTGCTTTGTGCTCCCCTGCATAGCTACCCCATAGCTATCCTGAATTACCTTGGCCACCATGGTAGCTCATGGGACAGCGGAGTCCAACCCAGCAAACACACAACCACAGCAAGCCCATCCCACCCATCTCCATCCCCTTTTTCAGTGCCTGGCCTGGGACTGGAGTTTTAGTGCACACGTTGCATCAACCCTTGCTGAACTCTGGATTCATCTTCCGACTTCTCAGATACGGCCATTACAGCGGCTGGCCATAGACAAACATCTCCATGGAAAAGATGTGAAAGATGGACACTGATAGCTGCTGCAGCAGTAGGACAGGCAGCTGAGGCACCCACTGCAGGAGGGAGGCAACTCCAGAACCCAGCCTTGACTGAGGAAATCCATTGGCAGATGAAGTTTCTTTGCAAGGCAACTGATGGCAAAGCTGGGGTAGGTGTGATGGAGGAATAAAGGGTGAAGGAAAGGGAAGTTTGGTGGACACATTTTGGACTGGCTTCTGAATAGTTTTCCAGGAAGCCCCAGGTATTGCATATGACAGGATCATAGCTGTGAGATGTCTGTAGGACAGAGAGCTGCTGGGGAGGGCACAGCAAAGGGCCACAAAGATGATTAAGGGCCTGGAGCATCTCTCTTATGAGGAGAGGCTGAGGGACTTGGGTCTTTTTAGTCTTGAGAAGAGAAGGCTGAGGGGAGATCTAATTAATGCTTACAAATACTTAAAGGGTGGGTGTCAGGAGGATGGGGCCGGTCTTTTCTCGGTGGTGCCCAGTGACAGGACAAGAGGAAACGGGCACAAACTTGAGTATAAGAAGTTCCACCTAAACATGAGGAGGAATTTCTTTCCTGTGAGAGTGGTAGAGCACTGGAACAGGCTGCCCAGAGAGGTGGTGGAGTCTCCTTCTCTGGAGACATTCAAACCCCGCCTGGACAAGTTCCTGTGCAACCTGCTCTAGGTAGGCTTGCTCTGGCGGGGGGGTTGGACTAGATGATCTCCAGAGGTCCCTTCCAACCCCATGTGATTCTATGATTCTATGGCTTTGGCAGGGGCTTCAGTCTGAAGACAAGCAGTGGTTCTGCTGGGTGCTGAAGCATGATGCAAACATACATTCATTTTATCTTATCATGGCACAGAAATGGAAAAAGGTCCAGAGGGATAAAGCAATTCTCCCCCAACAACACAGCTGGTATGAAGACCAGTCAATATCCTTTCTCAGTGACCGCACTGCTAAAGCACCATGCCACCTCTGCACCCTCTTTCTTGGGATTTCCCTCAGCAGTGGTAGAGTTCCCTCAGCATCTCATGACCAAAGAGTTATCAGCTCTCCTGGATCTCCCACAACTCCTGACTGTAAACAGAACTTCATGTGCTGCAGCTAAGTGTTCAGGAACCGATCACTCGTGAATTATTTGTAAAGAACACGCAACACTTAGCGGGTTGTCTCGGAGGGCTTGTTTAATCTTCACTGCAAGGCAAGCTCATGATGCCAGAGGCAAGGAAATGAGGAACAGCATTTGCAATTAATCAGGCTGTAAGTACGTAGGACAGCTGGGTCACATGAGCGGTCTTTAGCACGTAACATGCCTGCAATACTCACCAGTTGCACTTTCCAGTTCTTGCCCATTGACCATCCATGGAAACCAGTCTGCAAAAGAACAGACAGGAGTGAAGAAAAGACAGAGAGAGGGATTTCTACAGTCTGCAGGCTTTGT